ATGCATGACGGCAAATTAACAATATCATATCAATAATTGAAAGCGCGCGCCGGAAACGTCATTGAAGCGATAACAGCTGTCATTATGCAAGGTATTGAAAACTCTATTGTACTTGATTGGATTTAACTCTATCGTACCTGACTCGACTTATAATAAATTATTTATATAGTTCGGAGAGATTCTTTATCAAGGACATGACATTAAATGATATGTTCTTTCTTTTATCAACAATATGTGGAATCGGTTCGGAGGTATTTTCATGTTAACACGTCTAATTCCATGAATGCTAAAAGGGTTGACTGCTTGCATGTTGTCTGAAGCATTATCCACTACAGGAATTCTCGACTCCTGACCATTCATTTGAACTTGTAGCACAAGCAGAGTAAAATAAACAAGCATACTAATCTAAAAAATTCAAATACTCCTATAACCATAGATGTATGATTACGTACGTCAGACCCGAAAAATCAATATTACAAAAGATTGTTCTTTTCTGTTTTTGTCCTCAAAAGGCAGTACAGACGGTATAGCTTAGCTACCTGTGTGATTTTACATATCTCCATTTTCAAATTCTTTTTCGTTTTGTTTCATCGTATTTGCCTACCTCAATCTCTGTTTCGACAAACCCGTCCCCTACTTCATCACATGCAATAATCTTACTACTTTTTTTATTGACGTGATAATTGCATTCGAGTTTCCAGACGCAGGATTCTGTCTAGATTAGCCAGATATAATTCATTGTAACAGATATCTCCCAAATATTGGCATCATTCTGGAAGACTGTAAGTCTATACATGATCAGGCCAATGGAATGATAATATTAGCTAGGTAATTATGGTGTCTTTTCAAACAGAATGTGTTGAAAGGATTTGTTATAATCCGTTTGTGATAACATATGACTTGCCTAAAAAGAGATTATCCCCAGTTTAAATATAGCAAATTAGCCGGTAAATACTTCCACAGAGTGGACACAGGTTTGTAAGATTTGACAGTATACCCGCTCAGAAGGAAACAACTGTAAGTGAAAGTACCTAATAGGAACGCTTGGTCTCGTGTTATCGATTTTGTTTATATATAAATTATTTATATGCGACACTGGATGTGTTGAAAGGACCCTTGACAATAGACAGGCAAGGTTAACAGTAAAAATGCCCATTTCCTGATTGAAAAAAAGCACGCTTTGAACCGCAAACGTGTCTTGGTCTTTTGTGTGTTTTGAATACTTGTTATGTATTACAATGTCTGTAGTGCTTCTTGTGTCGAAGATTTTCACAACAATTCATAGTAGAGTCCTAGCGACCATGAATAGTCTTGTATTCAAAACTTTATGTACAATCTCACAGTTGATAATGGACCTGAATTACTACATATGTAATTAAATTGCTTTTAAAATTCTATATTTTAAAATTTTGATGCAATTCCAGCTCTTTCTTCAATTTGAAGCTGCATTCATACAGTGTATTAACATTTTCTCCTATTGAAAGTAGTGGCAGGTTATAATGAAATAAATTAGACTGAGGACGTGAACAAATCACAAACACGTAACAGTCATGTCATGATTGATTCAGTTAATGTTATTTTTGTTTGACTGTAAATGGAAAATATTCATTAGAACATTGGCTTTGCTGGATAATATCGTAAGTCCCTTGGTTGAAGAGCGATTTGCATCATGTGGTGGTGCACAATGATCTATTTGAAAAAAGATAATGATGACCGAAAATCATCAGAGTTAAAATAACACTACCAATCTAGGTGTAGTGAACAATCATTTGTACTCATTTTCGTTATAAAATGCATCAGACATTAGATGAAATATGTCCTTATTCTTCTCTCGTGTTAATAGAATTAATCTGTAGTCAGAAACCCTCTCCATCAGTGGCGTGATTCCACATCATATGTACTAGTATGCCATGCCAAGTTAAAATGTAGGGTAAGCTCTGATGGAGACGGACAGTTCAACTCGTGTGTATTTATAAAACAATATGAATCCTGAACGTTTTTGACGGAGTTTAACCGCTAGTATACAAGACATGTAGTTAGTTTAAGAAAGCTATTTCCTTGTATGGTACTCGTTATACAAATGATCGGAAAGATCTGTATTCACTTATCGTTACCAGCATTCATTTCCATGTTGATAATTCTACAAATTAATGATTGCTCGAATATAGATTCCGATATACCAATCAACTCATTGCTATATATAGATATGGTATTAGGTTTCGATAGATCCAGTGATCTGACAAGGATTCATCAGATAAGGAAGTGACCTACGCTTTAATCAACACTCGTCGTAAAATATACAGTTAAGTGAGTTGATGTCAATAACGTTTACCTGTAGGACTCTGTAATACCTAAACACACGTGTCTCAACAATAGGTAGGTCATTCCTGGTCACAAGAAACCTGTTGGAATCTGTAATACCTAAACACACATGCCTCAACAATAGGTAGGTCATTCCTGGTCACAAGAAACCTGTTGGAATCTGTAATACCTAAACACACATGCCTCAACAATAGGTAGGTCATTCCTGGTCACAAGAAACCTGTTGGAATCTGTAATACCTAAATACACATGCCTCAACAATAGGTAGGTCATTCATGGTCACAAGAAACCTGTTGGAATCTGTAATACCTAAACACACGTGTCTCAACAATAGGTAGGTCATTCCTGGTCACAAGAAACCTGTTGGAATCTGTAATACCTAAACACACGTGTCTCAACAATAGGTAGGTCATTCCTGGTCACAAGAAACCTGTTGGAATCTGTAATACCTAAACACACATGCCTCAACAATAGGTAGGTCATTCCTGGTCACAAGAAACCTGTTGGAATCTGTAATACCTAAACACACATGCCTCAACAATAGGTAGGTCATTCCTGGTCACAAGAAACCTGTTGGAATCTGTAATACCTAAACACACGTGTCTCAACAATAGGTAGGTCATTCCTGGTCACAAGAAACCTGTTGGAATCTGTAATACCTAAACACACATGCCTCAACAATAGGTAGGTCATTCCTGGTCACAAGAAACCTGTTGGAATCTGTAATACCTAAACACACGTGTCTCAACAATAGGTAGGTCATTCCTGGTCACAAGAAACCTGTTGGAATCTGTAATACCTAAACACACGTGTCTCAACAATAGGTAGGTCATTCCTGGTCACAAGAAACCTGTTGGAATCTGTAATACCTAAACACACATGCCTCAACAATAGGTAGGTCATTCCTGGTCACCAGACATCTGACAAACACTGTTTCTCTCGACTACTTACTTTAATTTTGTTGTTAATTTTTGCAGATTCCTATATTAGGGTTAAAGTTCAAATTCCTATTTACCATCGAAACAGAAATCGACAGAACAACCACTGCATACTTATAAACAGTGAACTAGATGTAGCAGGTAATAATGTTTCTTTTTAGGACATTCTAGACAGGTAAGACAACCAAACTAATCTTGTACAATATGGCCTCAAAGTGACGAAAGTGTTTTGTTTAAATCAATCAGCAACTTGAGTGCTTGGTAACCAGTATTTAGTACCCCTGCTAGGTATAAATATTACATAATATTCTCACTGAATGTGAACTCGAATCATTGTTACTGCTATGAAGGATTCTCGCCATTGACGAAACGTAACAGTTTTCGTAGCATACCTAACTGCGCCCCTCTGTTGGCGGACTTGTTTTTGTTTTCACACCAGGCTGAATTTATGGAAGAGCTTATCAAAACAAGATCACTCAGAACTTGCCAAGTTCGTTTAATTTCACGTTCTGTTTGATTTCTGGCTTGGTTCTTGCTTCTTTCTTTACATATTTTCAGTATTCACACCGAACTCAACGCTGAAGTGAAATTGTACTTTTTACCGATCAAATATATTTGTAAATTGTCGTAGATACATGAACGTAAACTAAGTTTAAGGTGAAGTATTTAAGATTGAACAAAAGACACACAGGTAAATAACACATCTTAATGCAGTTAGATACAGTAGAGCTAAACAATGAATCAAACTGCATCATATACAGCTGTTTCGTCCTTCTAGGACTCGTAAGTGACGCTACATCATACAGCTGTTTCGTCCTTCTAGGACTCGTAAGTGACGTACATCATACAGCTGTTTCGTCCTTCTAGGACTCGTAAGTGACGCTACATCATACAGCTGTTTCGTCCTTCTAGGACTCGTAAGTGACGCTACATCATACAGCTGTTTCGTCCTTCTAGGACTCGTAAGTGACGCTACATCATACAGCTGTTTCGTCCTTCTAGGACTCGTAAGTGACGCTACATCATACAGCTGTTTCGTCCTTCTAGGACTCGTAAGTGACGCTACATCATACAGCTGTTTCGTCCTTCTAGGACTCGTAAGTGACGCTACATCATACAGCTGTTTCGTCCTTCTAGGACTCGTAAGTGACGCTACATCATACAGCTGTTTCGTCCTTCTAGGACTCGTAAGTGATGCTACATCATACAACTGTTTCGTACTTCTAGGACTCGTAAGTGATGTTAAGGGTCTAGGTTTTTGAAGTCTAGGAGAAGACTGAGGAAAATCCAACGTGATCGAAAGGAAGTCAAAATCTAATCGGAGAGATTCACAAGCCCCAGTATTAAATAACTGCAGGGTACGGCAAACCTCACGTGCTAAATTGAAAACAAGCTGTATGTGCATGGCCCGTCAATAACCTAGAGTCTAGCTCAGAGGCCAGATATGGTTCTCTTGAGTGTTATCTGTTACTAACTGACAACCATGTTTGTTATATAATTTTATTCCATTGTTTTATAGTCGGCTGTAAAGTCGATTGCTGACTAGCATTGTTCTGTTAAACTCCGAATTAGAGTAACTAACCATTACCAATCCTAAAAATACAGAAAGACCCTGATCAGCTGTATTAAAGTTCATCCATTTCATTGATAATTCATACCATGAAGATGAATTTTTAGGAATATGAATATTTGTGTGAATATTAGTGGATTTGAAGGGAGATGAAAATTAAATATCTTTACCTTTTACCATGATGCTCATTGATTCTCAAAACGCTCGCTTCTGATGTAGAGATAGGCTGAAACTCATTGGAATCCGCACTCCAGAAAACACACCAAGTCTTTCTCCCCATATTGGTTTGCTTTACAGAAATCACATGGAGAATGCTAGTAATGTTGTCGTTATAGTCAGCAGTTGCTGATATTACATACCCTTTATTCGAGTGACTTATACTTTGAAAATCACCTGAAAGGATATTACGTTTGATCACACTTTGAGGAGGTCTTTTCCCACACGTTCCTTGTGTTGGAATTTCCTCAATCACAGATTTAATCCCACTTTTATTAGAGGAAGTACTTGTATTTGTCAAAATACCTATTTCCATAGCCTGAAGAATATTTCTCACAACTGGTGTAGTCTTTCTGGTGGAATTAACATGGTCTAATTTCCGGTTTCTGTTGATCATATTCTGTCTCGAGAACGATACGGAATCCCGAATTTCATCGTAATGTAGCACGTGTTGTAGTATTAAACAAAATATCCCTGTATGAATCAAAACAGTTCCTGCAAGCAGACGCCGAATTCTCAATTTCATCCCGATAGTGTTATGTATGAGACTTCTGTACCAGGTCTGAGCTTCGCAATTGTCGTCTGCTAACAGCTTTAGTATTGTTGTCGTCTGCTGGTTTCAGAACGGTTCAATATATCACGTGTGGAGGTTTACGTTCACGCGAGAACTCACGACCTGATAAAGACAGTGTGTCACTTAAAATGTACATAAATAAAACTAAACCACAAATCTACGGTCACCTATTTCGCTATTCACGACTAAGCGAAATGGCTACAGTCCGGTGGTACCTTGTAAATATCAATACTACTTCTTCGTGGTCTAGTGATAACAGGGTCCACTTAAAATAGCTTATGGCAACAGGTATATACACTGACCACTTGGTTAAATGAATCTGTTGACGTCATGCATTAATCCGCTTCATTCCTTACCTGGATTTTAGAAAATAACCTTAGTCATTCAACCTGAACATGGAAATATGATTAGCTGACCAGTTAACCTTGTACTGTCCAGTTCTAAACGACTCCAGGCATATGACAGTCATGTATCGATTATCGGATTATTTTGCGATGTTATGGAGCGCCGAAAAAAGATAGAATTGATAAGATGAAGTCATTAATAAGGAGGACTAGGATAGGTATAAACGATTGATGTACACTGGTAGGATACATGTTAACAATTGTTGATAAATAACCTACTGAATTTCATCCGGGGAATTGATATTATTGGAAAGACATTTGAATTACCAGTACAATAATTTGGCAGTTGAGAAAAAAAAATCAACATTAATAATGTTTTTCTTATTACCTCTGATTAAAATTGTGAAAGTAGCCACCTGGAGTAACACTGAAAAGAAATAATTGAAATATATGTATGTTGATGACTTAGTGTTATGATGTACCGAGTACCTGTGTTATCAGGAAAGGTATGCATTGACAAGTATAAAGTCTTTAGTTAAGTGTATTATTGTTTTACGTCCTATTCAAAACCACATGCATGTTGGGGATGGTGCATGAAAGCTGAAATTCCCGAATGAAAATAAACGACCTACGGTCACTACCTGGCGACTGCGCAGAGTAGGCCTCCAGCCAGAGACACGTGTAAACCTAATTGTATTAACAGGTATCTTGATATCAACAAATATCTTTATCTTTTATACTTTCCGAATTTATAGAAAACTCTAGGACATACTGAAAACAGCATCATGTGCCACGGGCAAGATTTGATGATGTCTGATTACTGTATTTGGCCATATTATAACTTGTTTTATACAGAATGTTACTAGATATATCTTAAACTTTATATTTTGAAGATTAATTCGTGTTTCGCCCAAGCTATTGCTCCCAAACTATATCGGTAACACTCAGCTGATATTGCAGACCAGGTGTAATAAGATTGGAGACAGCGTAAACATATGTTCGGTTGAAGATTTAAGAATTTGTACCAAAAACACTCATTTACAATTAGATACAGTAGGGCCAAATGATGAAATAAATCGCACCGTAATGCTATTTCGTCCTTCTAGGACTCGTCAGTGATAAGGACCTAAATTGTTGAAACTTTGGAGGCGACTGCGGAGAATGAAAATTGAGCGAAACCATCATAATTTTTTGCTCGAGATATTTTCTTTATCGATGTTGCCTTATTTCCTTATACATGATTGATAGACTACAGCATACTAAGTCAGTTTTCAGATAGATGATAACACCATGTGTTGGTATTCACACAATGATCTCTGTCTCTAAATGTGTCTTGCTTGCGAAGACAGTCACTTTGTCGCATCAATCCACATCCTGCAGGTTCAAACAAATCATATCTTCTTTATCTAACTGTTCGTTTACAGGAAACTGTGTCTGGCTACATCCATTTTCATTCTGTTATAAAATATAGCTCCATCCAGCCTCACCATTCTATGGAAGTGTAACTAGGTTGGAAAATTGGAAATCAGGCAACATTTGGTCAGAATGCTGCTGAATCGAATATCAGTTGTTATCGGAGGAATGGAATAATAAATTATTGAAATGTTACAAATACAAAGGCTACAGCATGTACCGATGTATTGAACCATTTTCGATGTATGGAATAACCTATGTATGGAGTCAGTTGATGTATGGAGTCAGTTGATGTATGGAGTTAGTTGATGTATGGAGTCAGTTGATGTATGGAGTTAGTTGATGTATGGAGTCAGTTGATGTATGGAGTTAGTTGATGTATGGAGTCAGTTGATGTATGGAGTTAGTTGATGTATGGAGTCAGTTGATGTATGGAGTTACCTATGTATGGAGTCACCTATGTATGGAGTCAGTTGATGTATGGAGTTAGTTGATGTATGGAGTTAGTTGATGTATGGAGTCTGTTGATGTATGGAGTTACCTATGTATGGAGTCACCTATGTTTGGAGTTAGTTGATGTATGGAGTCAGTTGATGTATGGAGTTACCTATGTATGGAGTCACCTATGTATGGAGTCAGTTGATGTATGGAGTTAGTTGATGTATGGAGTTAGTTGATGTATGGAGTCTGTTGATGTATGGAGTTACCTATGTATGGAGTCACCTATGTTTGGAGTTAGTTGATGTATGGAGTTACCTATGTATGGAGTTAGTTGATGTATGGAGTTAGTTGATGTATGGAGTCTGTTGATGTATGGAATAACCTATGTATGGAGTCAGTTGATGTATGGAGTTAGTTGATGTATGGAGTCAGTTGATGTATGGTGTCTGTTGATGTATGGAGTTACCTGTGTATGGAATAACCTATGTATGGAGTCAGTTGATGTATGGAGTGGAGTCACCTGTTTGGAGTTAGTTGATGTATGGAGTTAGTTGATGTATGGAGTCTGTTGATGTATGGAATTACCTATGTATGGAATAACCTATGTGTTGTATGTATGGGAGTCTGTTGATGTATGGAGTTACCTGTGTATGTATGGAGAGTATGGAGTCACCTATGTATGGAGTCAGTTGATGTATGGAGTTAGTTGATGTATGGAGTCTGTTGATGTATGGAGTTACCTATGTATGGAGTCACCTATGTTTGGAGTCAGTTGATGTATGGAGTCTGTTGATGTATGAAATCACCTATGTATGGGGTTACCTATGTATGGAGTCAGTTGATGTATGGAGTCGGTTGATATATGGAGTCATTTGATGTATGGAGTCAGTTGATATATGTAGTCACCTATGTATGGAGTCACCTATGTATGGTGTCCTTTGGTGTATGGAGCCGATTGTGTTTGCCGGACAGAGTGGTGACGGTTCCTGACGTCACACTCCGATCCAGACCCCGGATATCTTTGCTTTTTCTCACAGATCTTATCCAATCCTTTTATTTGTCAGTAATACGAAAATCAAAAATAAAGACACAAGCAAATGTTCCTCTTTTACGATTATCACGTCAAAAAGGAAAAAGGGTGTGGGTTTATATTTATGAGATGTTACAAAGCATTCGGGCAGGATTAACATGCAGTTTGTTTTTTTGGTTTTCCCCATCGTTCAAGATTTATATCTGTGATCACACTATTGTGTTTCCATTCAAATTAGCCAACTGCCTGATCGGTTTGTCAATATCTGCTTCAATGATGTCCATGGATTCAACAGGCTTCTGTGTTTTCTTGTCTTCGTTATTCATCAAAGGAGCACATCTGACACTCTCTCCACACTCTCCATGCTTTCTGTAGTACCACTCTTACTCACAGTTTCTTGTCAGTTTATAATGCTAGGGTTCTTGTCGAGAAGAAATGTCGACTTACTGTAAAGGTCCGGCTTCCAATGAAATCTATAGCACCTCATACATATCCTAACTCCATACAGTACCCCCATACATACCCTAACTCCATACAACACCCCCATACATATCCTAACTCCATACAGCACCCCCATACATATCCTAACTCCATACGGCACCCCCATACATATCCTAACTCCATACAGCACTCCCATACATATCCTAACTCCATACGGCACCCCCATACATATCCTAACTCCATACAGTACCCTCATACATATCCTAACTCCATACAGCACTCCCATACATATCCTAACTCCATACAGCACCCCCATACATATCCTAACTCCATACAGCACCCCCATACATATCCTAACTCCATACATATCCTAACTCCATACAGCACCCCATACTCCATACATATACCACCCCATAATATCCAGCACCCCCATACATATCCTAACTCCATACAACACCCCCATACATATCCTAACTCCATACGCAATAACTCCATACAGTACCCACATACATACCCTAACTCCATACAGTACCCCCATACATACCCTAACTCAATACAGCACCCCCATACATATCCTAACTCCATACAGCACCCCCATACATATCCTAACTCCATACGGCACCCCCATACATATCCTAACTCCATACAGCACCCCTATACATATCCTAACTCCATACAGCACTCCCATACATATCCTAACTCCATACAGCACCCCATACATATCCTAACTCCATACAGCACCCCCATACATATCCTAACTCCATACGGCACCCCCATACATATCCTAACTCCATACAGCACCCCCATACATATCCTAACTCCATACAGCACTCCCATACATATCCTAACTCCATACAGTACCCCCATACATATCCTAACTCCATACAGCACTCCCATACATATCCTAACTCCATACAGCACCCCCATACATATCCTAACTCCATACAGCACCCCCATACATATCCTAACTCCATACAGCACTCCCATACATATCCTAACTCCATACAGCACTCCCATACATATCCTAACTCCATACAGCACTCCCATACATATCCTAACTCCATACAGCACCCCCATACATATCCTAACTCCATACAGCACTCCCATACATATCCTAATTCCATACAGCACCCCATACATATCCTACCTCCATACAGCACTACATATCCTAACTCCATACATATTCTAATTCCATACAGTACTCACATACATATCCTAACTCCATACAGCACCCCCATACATATCCTTACTCCATCCACCATCCCCATACATATCCTAACTCC